ATAGATAGATAGATAGATAGATAGATAGATAGATAGATAGATAGATAATCTTAATTTTACTTCTCATCCTTGCCTGTTTGTTTCCCCAATACAGCCACTGCCGTTTCCAGTGAACAGAATCCTGTAATCATAATAGCTGTGGTAGCTGTGGCAGGCACAATCATCCTGGTTTTCATGGTTTTTGGCTTCATCATTGGGCGAAGGTATTACTTTAAAATATTAAGATGCTTAAGATAGACAGGAATCTGAAAAACTCAAATGTACATTAATCATTGATGAACAGCTGGTTTATATAGATGCTTGCAGTGGGTAAGCAGCTTTTTAGGGTTTGAAAAGAAAAGAAAAATGTTTAGATCACAATGCCATTTTGCCAGAAATATCTGATTCAATTCATATCCATATTACTGGTTTTATTTATGAATGTGTTACCAAAATATATGTCGATATATATTTTTAAAACAATTTTGGCTATCTTAAAAGAAAAATTCCAGGAAAAGTCACTACTGTTTCTAACTGCTTATGACAAAGGACCTAAAACATTACATATAATAATCTGCATTCCATTTTCTAATGAATTCCATCATTTGTCTCTTCTGAGAGTTCTTTGAGCAAAAACAGTAATATACTGCAGGATAAAAATCATTCACTGGTGATCACTGAATACTTATCGATCCATAAACGATCAGCTGTAACAGTGCACATACTTTAAGTAAGGATGTAAAAAAAAACTAGAATTTTATTTCCTATTTTGTTCATTTTATTAATTCTAACACATTAAAGTGTGACACAGTTTTAATTAAAAAAATGTTTTTTCCCTCTAGACACTGTGGCTATAGCAAAGCTGACCAAGAAGGAGATGAAGAACTTTACTTTCATTGTAAGTGCTTTGCTGTTATTTCATCCAGGAGATTCCAGGCCAATTACAGTAGATTGGTCCTGGCACTAATAGAACAGTGACAGTATTAAAAGAACATTTTTTTGCTGAGAACAAACATTTTAAATTTGTGTAAACCACAAATGTAAAGTTAAAAAAAATACTTCTTCCAAGGTAACATCATAAGTTTTATTACTGGGTTTTGATATACAGGTAGTCCTCACTTAGCAGCAGTAATTGGGACCTGCAATTCCATCACTTTCATCACCCAATTGCTAAGCAAAAAAATATTGCATGACTGCCAAGGGATTTATGACCTCACTTCCCCCTTTAATTATCCAGTAAAATATGCTTGTTAAGCAACATATGTGATTACTACTTACGATTTTACTTTGCCTTCCTTTCTTTACTCTGCTTATTGCAAGCCAGTTGCAAAGCATACAAATGGTGATCATGTGTGACTGCAGGACACTGTGATGGTCATGAATTCATACCAGTTGCAAAATGCCTGAATGGCAATCAGAACCTACGAGATGTTGTTATTTTCATAAATGCGAGGATTGATCACAAAGCTGCTTTTTTTCATGCCATTGTAACTATGACTGGTTGCTAATCAAGGCAGTCAGTAAGCGAGAACTATCTATATGCTTCTTTCCAGTTCACACACTTTGGATGAACATGAAATAGTTTCTTAATCATTCTTCTGGAGCAAAGATGATTGATGTAATTAATAATTGTTGGCCCAGCAAATTTTTTATTATGACATTTATATATTTTGTCAGTTGTACCCAAATAATAATAATGTTTCTTTCAAAATTTGTTTTCAGTAAATAGCCAGCATGAAATGCGAAAGTGTTTTATGTTGAAAATAGCCCAGTCAATCAAGTTTTAACTTATCCGTGAACTGTATCAACTAACTTTAGTGCATAAAGATATGAATTGAATATTTGAATTGTTTAAAGACAATATTAGTAATTGTCAATGTGAATGTAATCTTGTATACTAATATGTGTATTATATTTATTTCATTAATTCTGTAATCCTCAACATTTCCATAGGAATAATGACTATCTGAATATGTATCCATCAGATTACAAAGTTTTCTAACTTTTGTCAATTTGCTACCCAGAAGCCAAGCAAATATTTGATAGTATCAAATTAAATTAATCTTTATTTAAATTTCGAGTTCGATTTTCATTGTATCAATATTTCTGCTGTGTTTTATATTTTGTATTCTATTTTATTGTGAGTGGCAGCAAATGCTTATATAAGCAGAAAGATGGAGTAGAAATATATAGGAAAAAATAGTAAATTAGAGCAAATTGCTTACCAAATATGGATGCTAAGAAAGTACATAGAAAATACCATACCAAGAGACATGTGTGTAATAGTTCATTCAGTAGTTTATGAAAATACTTTTCTACATATGAAGTGATGCAGAAGAGTACAGTTGGAAAAATAAGTATCTGATCAAAAGTGGAAGTAACAGATTGACTCATCACACTTAAAAGATCAACAAGAAAACAGTTGTGAATGCAGATATGTGCAGAATGACAATTATTTAAATCAATGGAAATTTTTAGTTAAAATTCTGGAATTTCAGAATAAGGTGAAATAATATTAAATATATCCAAGAGCCGTGGTCCAGATTATATGTTCACTCTGCCAAGCCACTTGGATTTAGCTACTGCCCCCCTCAATTTAACAACTAATGATGATTTAATCACACCTTAATAGAAATATCTGGTATTCATGTCCATACAGTGAATAAAAATTCCTCTTCAGCCTGCTGCCCTTATCTTACACTTTCATGATTTGGTGCAGACCTGCTCATTTCTCATTTTATGAATGTATGGGGAATATATCTATTTACAGTTTCTGCTCCCTTATTTTGCATATCTGTTGAGCAATCAAAAGATGAATGGAAAATATACCTATATTAAAGAAAAGCTATAGAAATGTCTAAAAGCACACTGTTCGGTATCCTTATAGCAAAAGAATTAGTTTAAAAGTGCCAGCCACATAAATTTAACTCTAGCAATTCCTTGGTGCTCAGCATTGGATAGAGTGTGCAGTTTCTTCAAAGGAAGATTTCATAAGAACAACTATTTTCACACTGTAAAAGCAGCTGCATCTTTTCTCGGCTTAAGCAACTGCTTCAGAAATGGTTCCCAATTGTTTCCACATGTGTATTCACATAAGCCCACTTTGCTTTTTGTAAAAATTGGGAAAGAGGTGTTTTGTACAGATCCTCACACATTCCAAATTACTTTTTTAAAAAAGGATTTTAGTAACTGGAGATTCAGAGCCATGTTGAGTCAGAGTTTATATTTCCCTTTTCATCTTTACAGAAAATCAGACCAGCCTGTATTTGTTCAGCTCATGTGGCTGCATTAAAATCAATGTATGGCATTTTATTGGTTTCCCTCCACTGAAGGAAGGCTATCCTTTGATGACTGTGCATGGGAGGTAGATTTTGGAGAAGGCAGCAGCTGCAAGGCAAAAAGGGGGAATTACTGAAATTCTCTTTCTTGATCTCTAATGGAAGCCTTCCCTCAGCGAAGGAAAACGGTGGGTTTCACTCTTCATAGAGCACAGGTTGAAAACATCCTGTCTAAATCAAGCCTTACTGTGGAAACTGAAAACAGTAAAGAGGATTAGAATTACCACGTTCTCATTTGTTTTAAAAATAACGCAACAGCAGATATCCCCCTGGTGAAATGGAACGCTACTAAGAGCGTGAGAGGATTAATAATAGTGTCTCATTTTAGTTGCAGTGAGAATCTTCACATATTTAAAATAGTTCTTTTAAAAAAATGCATTTCCAAGTAATATCTGAGAAGGAAGTGCAGTTAATTGGGCGGGGGAGGGGAGAAAGGGTTTATAAGAGAAAGCGCTAGCCAAAGAATGCTTTTCCTCAGCATGCACTAATTTTTAAAATAATATGTATGGAGGAAATTATAAATAGGTTAACCACTTAGTCTAATTGTCAGAAACTAATTTTGAAAATAACATTTTATTCCTTCTTTGTATTCCTTTCTAGAAGCTTAGTTATCCAATATTAAAGGAAGTTAAAAGCATATTATCTACCATAAATTCTTACTTTTTTTTCTTCTTTTCTCATCTAATTATATTTTTTTCAGAGTCTTTAGACAGAAAGCAACGTTTTTAACTTGATATGATCATTGTTTCAAAGTAAAAGTTAAATAGCATGTTGTATTCACTACAGGTAGTTCTCAACTTACGACCGACTGCTCAAAGTTACAACAGCTTCTGAAAGGATGTTTTATGGATTATAATGTACTTACAGCTGTTGTAAAATGTCACGCCACCACCCTCACCCCACCCTGCAGTGATATGTATGCATTTCAAGCCCTTGGCAAACAGTTTACATTTTCTGCCAGCTTCCCCAGAAAGTCAGTTTGGAAGCCAGCAGGAAATGTTGCAAGGACAGGGGACAGAGGGGTGCTGAAATCTTTTGTGGGGCTTCAGGAAGGGAACTGAATCCTGAAGATTTCATCTCCCTTCTTGAACCACCAGACAGGATTTCCCCTCCATGCCCAAAGAGCAAGATAAATCCTTTGTACAGCTCCAGGGATGGAACTGAAATCCTTAGATTTTAGATCCATTTCTGCAGCTCCGTGATAGATTTTCCCTCTGTTCATTGAGGGGAATAGTACCTCTTTGTAGGGCTTGCAGGAATGGAATTGCAATCCTAAAGATTCAGGTCCATCAAAGATTTTGCCTCCCTGCTCATAGAGAAATGGATTTTTTGGGAGGTGGGCTGCAGGAACATTTGAGAAAGAAAAGGCTGCCAAGAGGATTTCAGCTGTGTGTGGAAATGTAATTTCTTAGGAGCCAGCTCTTTTGCTCCATCAATTTAACAATCCAGGAGTTTATAAATGACAGGTTTGGGGTCACTGAATGAAGCTGTCACATGGGTATCTTGCTTAACAACTATTTCACTTAGCAATTGAGATTCCCGTTTCAATTGTTAAAGATTACCTATAGTCATTTCAATTTTTCATCTTTTTGTTCCTGCATAATCCAGACAATATCCTGACATAATGAAGAAATTAGACTTAAATTTTATTGGAAAACTATAATAGCATTTTTAACTAGCTCAGAGAACAAGATTAGACAAAATATCCAATCTTCTCTCTCAGTTTTTGACAGCTTTCAATAATCTCAAATATTACATTTTAAAGGATATAGAAACATACAGTGGAAAAGTTCAGTTAAGCAACTCCAATTTACATTTTGTTTACTGTTTCTGATTTCTTTTAGCAGTTCCTTTGAATCTGAACATTACTTCATGTTGATATGCCAAGAGAGCTTTGACATGTCAAAGTGTTTTATGACAGCTTGAATAAAGTACCATCAAAGACCCATTTGAAATTCATAAGGTTACCTCAAATTCAGGCCCTTACAGGCTCGTGCAAGGAGAAGGTTCATTCTCCATCTGCTTGCCTGAAAGCATAATATAGATAGTTAACCTGTTATTTTTCAGGCTATTCCTTTTTCCTTTGGAACATAAATAAGAATGACTATCATCTCCAGAATCTGAGCCATTATCATGGCTCATAATCATATTATTGTTGACTTAGTCAAAATGGTATGCATAAAAAGTAACATTTACAGAATATTTGTATGATATTTATATTGCTGAGTCAAGGTTGACTCAGCCTTCCAGCCTTCTGAGGTGGGTAAAATGAGGACCCAAATTGTTGGGGGCAATATGCTGACTCTGTAAACCACTTGGAGAGGACTGTATAGCAGTATATAAGTCTAAGTGCCATTACTAGCATTGTATTTCCATGTAGTTTTATGAAACAGATATGACAATTGACACCTGTAATAATTCCAATGTTACAGTTATTCATTTACTAGGGAGTAAATCTCACTACACACAAAAGAGATCATATATGTAGATCTGTTGGGCATGATCATTTCATTAGTAGCATTTTGGAAAGTGTTGAAACCAATGTGTAAACATTTCTCCAATGTTGTTGTCATTTCCCTCTCTGTTATTTTTTTTAACCAAAATTTAACCACATTTTTTTCCCTCATTCCTTGCCCTCCCACCCAAAAAAGGTAGTCTTTGTATTTCAACAAAAGATGTTTTCTGGAAAACAAGAGTTCATTTCCCTTTCAACCAGATTGAATATGCAGTTTTTGGGATGACAGATTAAGAAACTTTTGATGATACTGATAACATATTCATCCTTGGGGAACATTTTTAAACCAATTGTCAGAACAAAGGCCAAATTCTTAATGATGACAGTTTTTTGAACTCAGAAATATATACACATATTCCAGAATGCGTATTTAATGACTGATATAATATAACTTTCATATAATAAAGTGTGATTAGCATTGTTTGGACTACAGTATCATTGAAAAGTAGAAATTACAGGAAGTCCTCAACTTGTGATTGTTAAGAAGCCTGGAATTACAGACAAAAGTCATTGTGGTCACAAGCCAAGGCATCACAAGACTTGATTTTTCAACCTTTTTATAGTAGTCATTAAGAAAATGCAATGGTCGTTAAGCAAATCTGTTTTCCCCAATGGGTAATTTTTGCCAGAAACTGGAAGCAAACACCAGAAACCAACAAAAATGTCACAAATCATGATCTTGTGACCATGGCATGCTGCAAATGGGAGTTAGGATGAGCAAGTTGCCAAATGCCCAAAATGAGATAACATGATGAGGTGAGGGAGGAACAGCTGGCATAACTTCAAAAATGGGCTGTAACTAAATCTGTAGAGATCTGTCATAAGTTTAAACAGTCGTTAACTGACCAGTCATAAGTCAAGGACTAACTATAGTGCCTGTTAGGACCAAATATAATTTGTGTGTCCAGTTCCTAACTCAGAAAAAATATAAGTATAGTTTGAACAATGCCTGGCATAGTTGCCTATACCAGGGAAGTGGGGAGGAAGAGAACCAGGGTCTTATTTATTAATCTGTCTACTCTTTGACCATCCTGTAAAGCTGTCCATAAACAAAAAAAAATCTGAGTATTTCTGGAAAAATAACTTGATCCCCTTATATGCCAAATGTTTTCTAATACAATCACCCTGTTTCTTACTTGTGTACTTAATGAGAGGTCCAGACGAAAAAGAAATCCCATTTATAAAATGTATTTATATTGTATATACATATTCTGATAATATAATTAGAGTAGAAAATATGTTAAAGGAAGAAAAATCAGAATGTTTTTACGAAGTTTGATTGTTTCAGCTAGGATTCCCTCATGCGGAAGCACACTTGGTTTAACAGAAGCTTCCCAGTTCTAGGGAAAATTTTTTACATAATTAAATCTCGGGGTTGGTTGCAACATAAATGGTTTGCTTTATCACAGTCATGCTTTCTTACATCATTACAGTTAAATTTCCAGGCACCAAAACCTACATTGACCCTGAAACCTACGAGGATCCCAATAGAGCAGTCCATCAATTCGCCAAGGAGTTAGATGCTTCCTGTATTAAAATAGAGCGTGTAATTGGTGCAGGTAAGGTGACTGGTTTCATATACAATTCTTGTGTCTAGGCAAATCAAAACTCATATTTCATGATGACAAGCAAATGATTATATTTACTTATGTAGCTTTTGGCTTATATCAGGGTAATTAGAGGCAATGGTTTGCTCATATATGTAACACAAATATGTAAACAGCCTGGTGGTCCTGAACATTTCTTCTTATTTAGGAAAAAATAAGTATCATTGCATATTGTAATTCAAATAATTTGTTTTGGCTTACACATTATTAAAAGAAAAAAAATACATTTGAGTTCAAATGCAGATTCCTTATACACATCACCAAATGCTTTCATTAAATTACAAATGGAATCTATATATTAAGGATATTTCCATGATGTAAGATCATATTTGTCCAACTAGGAATTGGTTTATAGAGCCAGCTTTTCTTCAGGGAATATTTTTGGTGCCATTCCTAACAATTGATTGCTACAAGAAGTCCTTGTCTAGGCTCTTATGGATGATTGTAACTGTGCTGTCATTACATTGTTTTCCTTCCTTTTTTCACATACTTAGACAATGATGTTCTGTGCTCTGAAAACCTGTTTCCATTTGTTTGCATTAATAAGAGATGTGACACTTTCATTACACTAGTTCATGTAGTGAGATTAAGTACCCATGGGCTAGAAAGATGTCAAATACCTAAGACTCCTGGAAGAAACATTCTTTGATTTCCTGTTGTTTTATGGTATATCTTTAAAGACCTTTTTTTTTTAAAAGATCACCATTGCAGGAGTGTGACAAGCATTATAATGTATACATAATTTTTAAAGGAGGAAAAATTTCGTTAAGAAGAATATATGAAAGACAAATCAATCTTATGAATATTTAAATAGAAGTAATTTCCAGTCACTTCAGTTATATTCCTAAATCAATAATTGTATGAATGCAGTCACAGGAATCATACGGCCTTCACTTAAAATTATATTCCAGTGTATATTCTGAATCAGAATCTATTTCAATGTATGGTTTTTCAATTGAACTTCACAAAACCTCCACAAATAGCATTTGAATAAGAATTTCTACTCTGTGTTACCACTATGCCTATAAATACTTAGCTATAAGTGTTTTCATTTCACAAATAGGTAATTGACCATAGGAACTGGATCCTCTCTGTAGTCTGTTGTTTAAGATGGTTCTCTATTGAATGCTGGGAAAACTGGATTCTTCCTGATAAGAATTGATTTTATTTTTTTCCATCCTTGGCAAATAAACAGACCAGTTTTTCAGAACTGCCAAATGCACATATACTTTAGAGAGTTATAGAGATGACTTTGGAGACACAAGACAGAGATCCCAGTTGAGTAAACATGTGTTAAGCTCAGGAAACAGAAATCTTGAGAAAGAAGCTCAAAGTGACTCCCTCTAATTGACTGGGATGAAAGAGAGAGGAAGTAAAGAAGAGAAACTCCACCAGACATTCAAGATTCTGTTACTGTAACTTACTTATATCTGTAAATTATAGCTTCAATCAGATTTGTGGAATCTGTTTCCTGACCTGGCCTACCTCAAAGGACTGGCATATAAATAAATATCTCCATTTTGTCCAGGGTTCCAAATTAAAAAGTTCCGGACACTGTAGCATAAGTATTTAAACTAAGCTTCTTTATAGCTTAACTCAGGAGTCGTAATTTACCAAAGAATATTAAGAGGGAAATGCTCCAGATACCCTAGATTGATAATGAAGAATGACTATCTGCATCACTCATCAAAATATGAAACTAGAGAACTTCTCTATGACAAGTGGTGCTTTCTGAAATTTCTGCACTGTTATTCTAGTGCAATTGTCCTTGGAATAAAAGCTCTTAGTCTTTCAGTAGTTGATGTGCATGTTTGATTTTGATGACTGCACTGTAATTTTCTGCTGACAAGTTTATGGTAGACAGCCGTGCCTATGTATAATAGGCAATCTCTAGCATACTGCTTCTTCTATTTATGACATATGTTTTTTGTAATTTCTGGATTGCTGAGGACTAAGCTGAACTACTGAATACTGGGAGCCTGACCTTATAGAATTAAATATTTTTGTATGACTTTCTTTTGTGGGCTTTTCTAATTAAGGATGATGTTTCAAAATACTTGCATATTTGGATTTGAGAAAAGGCTGAAATTAAATCATAGCAAGACCAAGTTCCTACTGATTTTGTCTTAGCCTCTATGCTAATTATAGATAGAGTTGCAGTCTTCCTGATGAAGCAGGTTTATAATTAGGATATTCTTTTGGACCTATGGCACCTTCTGGAATAGTATATGGACACCCAGGCTTTGATTAGTGTACAGGATTGAGCCATTCTTAGAAGAGGAAGCCAATATTTAAATTGTTACTATTTTGGACTGCAACATACACTTTACTTGAGGTTACTTGGATTTTGATTGAAAGGGATCCAAATAAACTAGTTCATCAAGAATACATTAAAACTGTTATACAAACATAGTCTTAATAACCTTCCCTAAAAAAAGGAAAGTTAGTTAGTTAGTTTATTTATTTATTTGTCAATTGTTTACAAGATAATAGGTACAAGTAAAAACATAGTTATGAATACATGGATACATATAAGAAAAATTAAAAAAAATAAAAGAAGCAATAGGACAGGGACTGTAGGCACATTGGTGCACTTATGCACACCCCCTACAGACCTCTTAGGAAAGGGGTGAGGTCAATAGTAGACAGTCTAAGGTTAAAGTTTTTGGGGTTTGGGGAAGAAACCACAGAGTCAGAAAAAGTATTCCAGACATTGACCACTCTGTTGCTGAAGTCATATTTCCTGCAATCTAGTTTGGTGCGATTAATCTTGAGTTTGTATCTATTATTTGCTCTTGTGTTGTTGTGGTTGAAGTTGAAGTATTCATTGACAGGTAGGACATTGCACTGTATGATTTTATATACTATACTTAGATCGGACTGAAGGTTCTAGGTTTTCTAGGTCTAGAATTTTGAGTCTGGATGAAACCTGTCTGAAAATTAGCCAGTATGGTGATATAAAGCAATGTCTTCTTCAGGATAAGATGAACCAACATCTCCTTAAGAGCTTGGAGAAAAGTCCCCTTTCTCAAAGAAAACTTCACCACTGCAAAAACCCATTTACGCAATACACATATCACTACCTCAGCAGCCTTGGTTAGCCAAGAGGGTTCAACCTATGGAGCAGCTTGGCCAAACTCATAGTCATGGCCAAATCATACATGTCAATTTCGTCAGGCGCAACAGTTTCAAACCATTCTTGGATTAACAGGGCAAGACTGCCCCAGGTCCCACACCAAAGTTCCTCCTGCAACTAAGGGGGAACAAAATTTGGTTGAATTCTTGCTTTAAAAGATTTTAAGATTGATCATTTTTAATGCTTGGTTTTTTTCTTCTTAATTTCTTGTTTTCTATTATAATTGTAGTTCCTTTATGACTTTTTTGCTTGCTGCCCAGAATCTCTGGAGAAGCAGAGTGTGACTGAATAAATATTTAGATGTTTTTAAGATGTTGAACTTTGCTTGGATTAGCGTTTGTCCTCTTACTAATTTGATTTTCATTTTCCAATAAATGGAGACATTGTGCCTTGTTTCTTATTGGTGTGAACTAAAATGGTTCAGTTGCAAATAAATATTTCTTTAAATTCAGGAGAGTTTGGCGAAGTATGCAGTGGTCGTCTAAAGCTTCCAGGCAAAAGAGATGTTGCAGTAGCCATTAAAACTTTAAAAGTGGGCTACACTGAAAAACAAAGAAGAGATTTTCTTTGTGAGGCAAGCATCATGGGACAGTTTGACCACCCCAATGTTGTTCACTTGGAAGGAGTTGTTACCAGAGGTAAGTTGCAATCAGTTCTGATTTTTGAACAACTTTCCAAATTGTACCTGATCATAAAGTTTCCATAATATGTAGTTCAAATCAGATCATTGTACTACATAAAATAATTGACTTTATTTCCTTTTTTGACACATAATTTAACTAAAGCAATATTAAATGTATCCTATCACTTGAGAAAAAATATTTAAGATTTTTGCGTGAAAAGAGATGGCAACATTTTGTAGCATTTTTTTCCTAGTCACATTTAACATTAAATAAAATTCTCAGTGTCTTTTCCTATTAAATGGAGTGTCGTTTTTCCAGAGTTCAGTTCACACAGCAGGAGAAAGAAGAACACACTGACATTTTGAATTGTATGGTTTAATTTTTTGAGTCATGATCATTTTCTGTACAGAGACATTTAAGGATTTAGTAGATCACAGGAACTATTTTGGAAACATTAGGAGCAGTCATGCCTCATTATTCATCTTTCAAAGAAACAACATGTTTTATCAAAATGGGGACATTCTGTTCAGATATAATTTCTTTAAATCTCCCTTTTTCTATTTCTTTTAGGAAAACCAGTAATGATTGTAATAGAATACATGGAGAATGGAGCACTGGATGCATTTCTCAGGGTGAGTGCCTGAGGGAAACATATATAGCACTTCAAAAATAATATATATATATGCTACCAATTTAACATAATAAAACATTTTCAATGTAAAATGAGAACACACTAAATTTTAAGAGATCTATGAATGGTCTTGGTAAAATCAGATTAGAAATTAGAAGACCAGACAGGATCAAACAACATTTTTGGCCATCTAAGTGATCCAACATGGCACAGATACAGTGGTTTTGATTACCATCACAGACTAGGACCTGGAGCCATGTTGTGGGAACACAGTTATAGTTTTTCTCCATTGAAAAAAAGACAGTCTTTAAATTAATGCAGAAATAATTCAAAAATCAAGGAAGCACTTTTTAAAGATCCTTACATTAGCATTATTTTACATGAGTTTCTTGTTTGTGGCAGGCAACATATAAAACTCTTAACTCGTCCCTTAAGAGCATTCATTAATATTAATGAATATGAATAAGATTAATAGCAAAATATATTTCAAGGCTTTTAGTGCTGATAAAGTATAGTGCTGATTTCACTGTCAGTTTTTTTGGCAATTGGTTTTCTATCAATAATCTGCTTCTGATTTGTGTGTATATATGCGTGCATGTATGAATGTTCAATTTGTGTTAATAGGCTGGATTTATTGTGTCTGGGATCAGCTTGTTCTTATGATTAAAATATCCAACACGATAAAATAAAATTTGAGAAAGCAATTTTGCTCAGTTTATCATTATGTGAATAAATATATTTGATTTACAGATATAGAATTGTTTCTTTTTTAGCTGCAGTGTGGAAAATTGAAGACATATACAATTTTTGATAATTTGTGCAAATTTAAAAGTTTCTCAATTAGGATAAAAGATTTTAAAAGGATGGAATTTTCTGCCATACATATTTTGTTCTTTTAATAGATTCATCTAGCTATTTTTATACTCTCCTGATTTGTTATTTTTGTTATTAACTATGCAGGATTACACAAATGAGATCATAAATGTATAATTTTTTAGTATAAATTTGTATTTTCCCCCCCAAATATTAAAGGTTATTATGTACAGCTTCAAACATTCTATAATAGGGGTCCCCGGTACTGGTCCATGGGCTGTTAGAAACCAGGCCTCACAGCTGGAGGTGAGCATCAGGCAAACAAGCAAAATCAAAATCCTTCCCCCGACCCCCACCCTTCATATGTGAAAAAATTGTCTTCCCTGAAATCAATTTGTGGTGCCAAAAAGATTTGGGACTGCTGTGCTATAGAATTACATATTTCTTCATTATTTTAAACTATTAGTTTAATATTTTAAATTACTTAATAATTTAATGATTTAAAATTAATTAAATTATTTAAATAAATGTCAGGCCTGCTTCCCTTCAAAAATGGTGCTTGGAATCATATTTGTGAATTGTAGTGGTTTTGCATTTTTAAAATATTAGAACAGCACTACGAGAGAGGAGTGAATGAATGAATGAATGAATGAATGAATGAATGAATGAATGATAATACATACAGATATACACGCACACATATACATAAATATGTACCATTATTTGTGCACATACTTTCAGGACATAAAAACACACATTTCACTCCTGAAAACACCCCTGAAGTGGATTCCAATATCACTTATTTTGAAAGATAAGCTCTCACACCAAAGAAAGTTACCTATGCCTGTCTGAATGCCATCCTGCATTTAGTTTCTTAAAGATAAAGATTGAACATGTTTACTTTCTTTCTTCTCAAGTACTTTAAAGAGCATCTCTGTTTCTGTCTTCATTTCAGAAACACGATGGGCAGTTCACAGTAATTCAGCTGGTTGGAATGTTGAGAGGAATTGCTGCTGGAATGAGATACTTGGCAGATATGGGTTACGTACACAGGGACTTAGCAGCACGCAATATTCTGGTCAATAGCAATCTTGTTTGCAAAGTATCGGACTTTGGTCTATCCAGAGTTATAGAAGATGATCCTGAAGCTGTCTATACCACAACTGTGAGTTGTGCACTTAATCGAAAAAAAATCTATCCAGTATAGTCTTATTTTCATGCACAGTAAGACCTTAGGTTGGGTTTGCTTTGGAAGAGAATGTGCCAAATATTTATTGGCAAGGGATGTTGTGCTTTGTTGGGTTTTGAAAACTTTCTTATTTAACAAATACTCATAAAAAACTGCATATTACAACATCTTGTTATAAATAAAACATAAACTGACTCACAAAAGATCTCCAAATGTGGCTTTATCCAGTGTTTTTTCTGCATTCTCTCCTTTCTAATTATTTTTTCATTTATTGGGAACTGTTTATTCATTTAGATATTTTGTCCACTGGAAAATGTTTGTATCATCTTATCTACACACCAGTGGCTTTCTAACTGAAACATCTCTTATTTCCCAAAGATTTCCATTGAGGAGAACTACATTAAACTATCCTTGACCATTATCTTAGACTTGTACTATTAATGTCATCTTCTTTACAAAAGAATTGGTTGATAAAATTAATGTATCATAATACTACGACTACCAATAATCTATATATATAAAAGCAAAATACCACTTATGCAACATCACAAAATCTCCAGAACTGTAAAGCCTACAAACTTGAAATTTGGCACGTATGTTCCTCTTGGCTTCTAGGTGCCCACTAAGGAAGGATTTTTTGAAATTACCATCAAAGCAATAGTATTCTTATATTATTATTAATACACTCTGATGCTAAGGAGTTCTACTCCCCTCCCCACCTGAAAAGAAATCTGTTCCAAATGCAAAACACAAGCAGAGGAGAGGAGCTTCTGTTTTACTTTCACAGCAGCAACTAGCTTTAGTACAGAACAGTTGAGCTAAGCCACACCCAGGCTCCTTGCTGTCTCCTTCTTGCTCACACACCAAATACTGTGTCAGTTTCCATGTTTCAGTTTCCAAACAGCCCTCAATTCTCTCAAACACTCTCTCACTGGATTCTAGCCAGATGAATACCGATGGATGCTGGTAGGCAGAGGCACAATTCCCCCTCCCCTTATTTTCCTCCCAAAAAACTCAGACCGATCACATAGTTTCATAGCAAAGCACCAGTATGGAGCTAGTGATGTGATAAACCTCCACACAATCCCTAAATCCCTAAATTGTTAAAAATATCTTTTTAAAAAAGTAATAATAAATTGTCTTAATAATATTTGGGAAGTCTTCTAACAGGGGAAGCAGCGTACCCTTATTTAGAGTCTTGTTTATAGAATGCATAAGTTGAAACACTCAGAACTGGAGGGAGAAAGGACAATGTTCTTCATAAGCCATCATGAAGGCTCCAAAAGGATTGCTTGTTTTCTGCTTTGTTTTGCTTTTCATTTTGGTTTTTTGAAATTTGCATTATCTACTGCACACAACTCCAAAGTTTTTTTTTTTTTTTAATTTATAAAATGAAGCAAGTTTTGAGAAGCAGTAACATGGAATAGGTTGAAAAATTTGGATCATCATTTGAGATTGGGAATTTTGGCTGCTATTCCTCCTTGATCAATGGAAAATCTAAGACTTGAATGATGGGGTGGATATCAGAAATGAAAAGTAAGAGGTTGGGTTCAGTTGTTTCTAGCTTTATCTCCTTCTGATCTAATTAGGAGACAATGGTAATAGTATCTAAAATGTTTGAAATACTATATGCTTACCCAATAGACATGCTTGTGTATATATATGCCACCACGGACTTGTGGTAGCATAGTAGTTAAAATGCAGTACTACAGGCTAATTCTGCTGATTGCCGGCAGTTCAGTCCTGACCTGCTCAAGGTTTACTCAGCCTCCCAACCTTCCAACATCAGTGAAATGAAGACCCAGATTGTTGGGGGCAGTATGCTGACTCTATAAACTGCTTAGAGAGGGTTGTGTAGCACTGTGAAGCGGTGTATGAATCTTAGTGCTATTGCTATTGCTATATTGCTGTGAGTTTGTTTCAAAAACTTTCATTTCCCATAGGGTGGCAAAATTCCAGTAAGATGGACAGGTCCAGAAGCCATACAGTACCGGAAGTTTACATCAGCAAGTGATGTATGGAGTTATGGAATAGTCATGTGGGAGGTGATGTCTTATGGAGAGAGGCCTTATTGGGACATGTCAAATCAAGATGTAAGTTGCCAAAACATAATTATACTGCTTATAATATGATAGAGTTGGAAAAGGCAAACTTAGAAGCAAAATGACCAGGATATATACTTCTATGAGCACATAAGAAGGTTTTAAAGTAATAGCCTCATATATTTTTTAAATAACTTAATTTATATGTTGCATTGATTTTTCCTATTCTTAAAGTTAGCCTGATGCAAACTAACTTATCATTCAGCCAACATAGTGCTACAATTACAGTACCTAGCTATTACTTACTGGCTATTGTACATAATCATAAAGTAATTTTTAAAAAGGACAGATAGATAGAATTAGAAAACAAAAGGTGTAGCAAGGTTGTTCAAACATAGATAAATGCTTTTATTTCTTCTGTTAAAATACCTGGAAGATAACTGAACCTCTTTTTTTGTATCATTAGAACATTCTTATCCGAAAGGTACTATATTCTATTCTACAGCCAACTAAAATCTTTACAAAATTCTGTATTTAAATACAGGTTTATGAACATTCTTTTTCATCAGAGGATATGTTTCTATTTTATTTTTAGTCTCCACCTATACTTATATCTCAATATTTTTGAACCAATAATTATACTACAAAATTCAAAGAACTGTGAAATCCAAAGTTTGGTGAACATGTTAATTCAGAAGTTGATTAGTAGGATACCTGAAGCTAGTTGTGAGAACTTTTCTTAGTCATATATGGAAATATTTTTATAGTTCTTGGAGCACTTTGGATCCCCAACATAGAGAAGCAGCCCAATTCAGTAAATAATATGGAAAGTAAGTAAATTAAATAATAGAGCTATTTAAAAATTCCAAGAGAGGAAAGGAGAAATGAATAATCTTTCATCCCACACATTTGAGTTTTATAATTTATTGTAGCTGTCTTCATATTATCTTCAAATAAAATAATATAATCCTCTTATAAATGGAAGAAAAAATATTCTAACTTGAAATATGATACACAACGTCTTACTATCTTTAGTCAAGAGTTGAATCTGTCATATTTTTTTTCTTTACAAAATAAAAAAACGAAAACATGTAGTCCACTCCACACCCTAAATCTTAGCCTCAGGCTTGTTTATGCAGGTGTAGATTAGAAGTTGTTTTTATAGGATCCAATATAGGTCTTATAAAAGCATTTGTTGGTCCTTTTCTATGGATATGAACTCCTTTTGACTAATGTTTTTGAAGATGCTTACTCCTTACACAAAATAGACTTCAGTGCAGGCAAGAAAGAGTCCTTGATCTTATCAAAACTTCAAGTATAATAATGCCTGATTTTACAGTCAAGATCAGGAAAATTTCTGAACTGAAAAATAGTTTGGCCTTCTGTATAAATTAATGTGTAGGCTGTTGCACATATTACATTTTTTTGTTTTTGTGTTTTTTTAATGATTACTATGACTTTAGCCCTTCATGCTTCTTTCGTATGTTCATCTGAAGCACTATATACTAAGGACATTCTTATCTCCTATCTATAGATAAGATTCATGATAGATTTGTAGAAAGTTATCTTTTATACACAATTTTCTGATTTTTTAAAAAATCTTCTTGGATATAATAGCTTATTTCCATCAGTGGAATAGATTGAATATAGGAAGATTATTGTTAAAAATCCATCAAAAAATAGTCTAAAACAAACATATTAAAGCATTTCCATTCTGGTTTGAACAGTTGGGTATTATTGGGTAGTATTGAACTGTACTGTATTTCATTTTATTTACAATATTTGAAGCCTATATTAGTCTATAAAACTAAAATCAGGAATTTCATATATACTCAGGATTGCTATCACCATATATTCAGCTAATATCCATCAAGGATTATGGAAACTCTTGTCCAAAGAATTTGGAGGGTATTAAACTACCTATCTCTGTTATAAAAACAGGTAGTGCCTGAGAGGTCACTATATGACATAAGAAAAGGCCAGGTTCAAGTTATCATTTGACTAACAACCTCACAAGACAACTAATTAATTTTACTCTTAATTCACATGTAGGATCACATGACAGATAATCCGATATGTGTTGCTTTGAGCTTTTCAGAAAAAAGGTGGAATAGAAATTATGAATTAATAGCAGAAATAAATTTAAGAAATAATAAATGCACTTAAAACATTTTGAAAACTCGAGATTTATATAAGATATCAGTGCATTTTTTCTTTTTTATTCATTGTATCAACCCATCATGAAACACACTAATTAAATTCTATTTTTCTATGTAGAGAAGCAGATATCAGAAATAAGTGAAATTTCTGTTTCCAAATCAGCAGTCCATCACAATATTTTATATTCTGCAAAAATACAATATATATCCTAAAATACCATAATTTTATATTTATAAAGGAAATAATCAGTTCATTATAGTGAGCACTGGATTATAACATTATGTGGTATTACTATTGATTAGCAATATGTCACTACGAGTTGGCAAGCAGGAACAAGTGATTAAATATACAAGTATAAAAAGGAAGAATTTTAATGACATCATACATAGTATCAGCGGGACTAGGTATGGATACCTGTGTATGTGACAATAAGAAGAAAAATTAATTGTTTAATCAATTAATTAAAATTTGTTTCACTGGAACAAATACAGTATGTGAGTCACTATGTCTCATAGTTGTAGCTGAATGCAGATAGTAATACAGAGCTTCTAAAAAATGAACAACCTGTAAAAAAACATCCAGCTTCTCTCTGAGTCCATTTATATTAAGCAAGACTGAATTTTTCCCATGAGGATGGAAAACAGTTGCATATTCATTGTATAAATTTACTGCTGAATAGCTTTCTTCTCCTGCCTGCTGTTTATCTATAGCAGTGATGGCTGACCTTTTTGTCATCACATGCCAAAAGTATGCATGTATGCACACGACAGCACGCACGTGTGCCTGTACCCATAATGCAGTGCACTCATAATGCATGTGCAACCCTTCTGCACCTCGTTTTGGGCCTAGTATGCCTCCCTGCAGCCTCCTGGGAGCAAAAATGGGCACGGGATGCTTCTCACACATGCGTCCCACCGCCTACACATGCGCGGCAGAGACCTGAAAATCAGTTGGCCAGTGGCATGCACGGTGGAGCTGAGCTGGGGCAATGGCTCGAGCACCCACAGGCCACTGCGTGAGTTTTTTTCTTCTTCTATTAGAGTGTTAGCAAAACATAACACAGGAGAGGGAAGGGGCTGAAGGAAATATTTGTCAGCAAAAGTGAAGCCATTCTGAATGTACTATCTGATATGACATCACATGTTGCATTAAAGTCAGTGCTATTATTGCAATCTTACCATAGTTACATTATGTGAGAATCAAACCAGACTTGCCAAGTACAGTTTCATTTCATCTAGAAATACACTATTTGTAAATCAACACTGCTCTGTATAAATAAAGATATGAAGAGAACATAATGTTTCTCAAACAATTCTTAAGAGTGAGTGATAGAATTCAAAGGTTAGGGTAAGGTTGAATTTTATCATCATTACTTTTATATAAAATCTAAATGACGAGTCATTTTGGCAGAATGAAAGTTGTTAATATTTGACAGGTCTCAGTGTCAGAGATTTCATGGACTGTCAAAATATGGGCAAACAAGTCCTTGGGGCAGAGAAAAAGAAGTATTGACATTCCCAAGACATTCAGTAGAGTTTCATTCCTTTTGACAACTTCCTTCTGTACTAGATTCAACAGAAAAGATGTTTGGCAGGAAGATAAGATAGCTGGAAGGCAAAGCTTACCTATCTTTAAAAAAAATAAGGAAACTCAAAATCAATATTTTCTTTTGCTGAAGTTTTGCATTGAGCACGTGCTATTTCCTTGTTCTGTAAATAGCTAAATAAAGTAAATTGTTTCCCAATTATAAAGAAAAAATAGATCGGGATTATTTTAATAAGCATATAAATAAAATATTTCCTTCTTGAGAAAAAAAGGTTCCATTATTTTAGGGAAGCATTATGTATTTTCTATGCTTTATCTACTCTTTTGCAGAAGAACCAATTCCATATTAGTGATTTATGCTATCTTTTAAAATCTTTTTTTACTTTATTCAAAACATTAAAATATAAACTCCAAAAAAAGAAAAAATAAGGCTAAACAAGACTACACCCAAAAAAGGTGGATAAAGAAAACAAACATATACATAAATTGTTCTCCCTAGTTGAATACTGATAATTATATTTCCAAGATACAAGATCTGTGATACAAATGTATTGCTGAGTGTATACCATGGATTTCGGAGTGCTGGTTGGGAAGTTCAATTTTGCTGATGATTTGAAGGAGTTGACAGCTTTCTGTCTGGAAATGCTTGGAATTCCTTTTTTTTTTTGTCTCCTGTTTTACTTTTTTCTTCCTCTCTCAAAATTCATTTCTTGTTTTTTTGTTTTTCTTCATATTCCTCATGCCACTCTTGTAATATCCTAGAGCTTATTATTCATCTTATTCTCTTTTCCTGTACACAACTTTTAACTATAGTAGTCCTCGACTTACAACTGGTCCTTTAATGACCATTCAAAGATTCACGGAATTCCAGAAAAGCTACTTACCACCTGGTTTCAAACTTTCAATGGCCAGTACACTGCCCCATCACATGATCATATTTTGGGCACTAGGCAACCAGCCTGTATTTAAGGCCATTTGCAATATTTCTGAGTCAGGTGACCATGACATTTTACCCAGAAACCAGCATTTACTTCCAGTTTCCATAAAAAAAAAACTCCCACAAAATGAATGATCACAGCTTTTGCTTTAGAACCACCCCAAAAAAGATAATAAAAATGGGCATAGCCATGAGATGGACCACTGAATGATCAGCATGACTTAGAACTGTAAATCCAGACTCAATTGCAGTCATAAGTGAGAAATATCTATAATTTAGTCAGATAACAGATAATCAGAATTGGAAGGGACCTTGTAGGTCATCTAGTCCAATCCCCCACTCAAGCGGGAGACCCTACATCATTTCTGACAAATGGCAGTCCAATCTCTTCTTGAAAGTCTCAAGTGATGGCACTTCCACAACTTCCGAGGGCAAGATGTTCCATTGGTTGATTGTTCTCACTGTCAAAAAGTTTCTCCTTGTTCAGTTTCCATCCATTATTCCTTGTCTGGCCTACAGGCGCTTTAGAAAATAGATTGACCCCTTCCTCCCTGTGGCAGCCTCTCAACTATTGGAAGATTGCTATCATGTCTCCCCTGGTCCTTCTCTTTACTAGACTAGCCAAGCCCAGTTCCTGCAACCTTTCATCATATGTTTTAGCCTCCAGTCCCCTAATCCTCCTGGTTGCTCTTCTCTGTACTTTTTCTAGAGTCTCAACATCTTTTTTTATAATGTGGTGAACAAAACTGGATGTAGTACTCTAGGTGTGGTCTTACTAAGGCTTTATAGAGTGGTATTAGTATCTCCCTTGATACTGAAAATTAGATGAACGTGAGAGACTCTTATTCCTGATGAAATGTTCTACCTTTTTTTCTGTTTCCCACAGATTGCTCTCTTTTCCTATTGCAGTTTCCTATTTCCTATTCCTTTTCCTGATGACATTTCAACTATATAAAGAGATTTCAGCTATTCTGTTTGATGGCATTCCCAACGTTCAGAAATAGGGCTATTTTGCAGGCATCGTGAAAAAAGAACAGTACATTTAAATTCTGTCTGCCAAATGATAGTTATTGTAATATATACCAAATCCAAATGTGCTCATGTTACTTCTGCTGCAATAAAAATATGTCTTGCAAAGTCCTGAGCACAGCTGTTGTACGGCCCATATACTAAGTGAAACTAAAAATTCCATCGTTGACATTCCTAAAGATTTATTTCAGATCCCCCTTATGCTACAAATACACAACTTCAGTTCAAAGCAAAGATTGTGAGAGTGAAGTCACTACAGTGGATAGTTATTTTCAGTGTATGACTGGAATTAGTTTCTTTCTAATGGTTTAGCTGTCCATGTACTTTCAACTAAATTTCCACCTATCTAAAAATGCTAGTTGGAGGGGGAGCTGTATTATTACAGCCTCTCCTAAGATTTCCTTGTTTTAATGGGATATTGAAAAGCCAAGTCAGTGATTAAATAGCGTGCTTGTGATATGGCCTGGCATATAGATTTGGGTTACATAAATACAGCTCTTTTACCTCGGGAAATCAAATGTATATGTTTAAGCCAGCAAGATACCTTAGAATGATTACAATACCAAAATTCCACCGAGCATTTTATTGGCCTACTTGGAGGCATTGCATTCAGTGGTGTTTGAAGGAAAATTTGAAAAGGCATGATACGATGAGCATTATTTCACTTGCAACACAGGAAACATGAAAACAATGGCTCATAAATTGTTATATGGTAATTTCTATAAAAACATCCTCCCTCATTATTTATTGAAAGTCCTAGAGGATTATTCAGGAAGCTCAAATACATTTTTATGTAAATTATCTGTTATCAGATGCATATTACAGTTATAACAAAATTGCAAACTTTAGTCAAAGTGCAAGTAAGGTTCAATAAAGGATTATTTTATTAGCCAAGCAATAAACAAACATGAGAATGGACCTTGCCAGGCAATAAACAAACATGAGAATGGACCTAGTTTTGTTGACAGTGCTAAAATGATGTGTTTGTGATCTCCTTACGTGTATTTTTAACATATATTTCTTATAAATGGCCAAAATAAAATAGAATATAGCTATTGTTATAAACTTTGTTGTTCCAAACACACTGCACTTGTAGAACAAGAAGCCACTAATTAATTTAATAGTTATAGTTTAAATGTTTTGCTGCTTATATAATAATGTTATTATTTCCAAAATAAACATAAGAAAAAATAGGAAGTAAATATTTGTGAAGGAGAAAGGTGGGTTGTTTGGTTTTGGTTTTTGCCATGTATCCATTATGCCACAAAGGCCTCTTTATTACTAGCTATGATTTATTTACCTAAAGTTTGCCATTTAAAATATTGGTCATACTGGCTCAGAAAAGTGTCTAAAACTATTTTTAAAAATTATGCTTGCCTTGTATTTGTTACCCATTACAACACCTTTGTACTTTATTATAATTCCAGAGGAAACCACTAATAATGGCTTTGTCCATAAACTTCTGCAAAAATTTGTCTTCGTCTTATCAATGGAATGCTGTTTTGTCCATTGTGTTGGTATTTTTTTTTTTATAAAACCACACTTTAGCTTATCAATGCTGTGTGAACTTAACAAAAATTTCTTGTGATCCTCTTCTGTGGTTTTGTTTTGGTTATTTTCTTTTTCTTACTTCAACATCAACAAATCAGTGCTGCAAAAAATAATAGTGTCTTAACTGATCCTTGAGATATTATGTTAGCCTATACTATGTTTTGATATTAAACAGATCTCTTAAACATCCTATAGTTAATCTTTAATTAGATTCACATCTAGTTTGGATTGTTGTTGAGAAGGTCATCACGGGAAAGCATTTTCTTTTCTTTTTTTTCTTTTCTATTATCGACTAATTTTCATTCTTCCATTTCATTTTCATCTAGATATAGCTACCTAGATGTATACACAGACTGTTTAATAATGCTTTGTTTCCCTGCCAAAAAGAGCCTCTTGGACAAATAGATATTGCTTTCAAAGAATATCTCATGTATCAGTTTCCCAGTTGCACCCATGGTGAATTTAATTGCTATTCGCTCCTGCTGATTTGATTAGGTAATGCAGCTATATTCTCAGCATAATTACCAAATGCTATAATCTGTTTAATAGGCATGGACAATAAAAAAAGTTTACAGTATTATACAACAACCAAAATTTTTGTGCTAGAACAGTAGGTTCTATTTCAAAGATACGTTTCATAAAACTTTGCTTAATTTGGTGGATTCTTCTTGAGCTGTAAACATTTAAACTCATGGCGGGTTTTGTTATTAGGTTATAAAAGCAATTGAAGAAGGGTATCGTTTGCCAGCACCCATGGACTGCCCAGCAGGCCTTCACCAGCTGATGCTAGACTGCTGGCAGAAAGAACGTGCAGAAAGGCCAAAATTTGAACAGATTGTGGGCATTCTGGATAAAATGATTCGGAACCCAAATAGCTTGAAGACACCTTTAGGAACCTGTAGTAGGTAAGTTATGGATTAGATTCCTAAATTATAGGATAAAATTCTAGACAGCTTTTCTTTGTTTCAGCTGTTGTTGGCCCATGATTTACTTATTTTATTTCAATTTTTTCATCCTTCTATTATTATTTGGGATAAATTCAATCATTCCAGATGCTTTTACAAGGGTAAACTAGATATTAAATCTAAATTATATTGATCGTATATTGATGTTCCTTATCCTAAGCCAAGAGAAAATAACAGCTGTCTCTGACCCATTTTGAAAAAAATGATAACCATTTGGTAGTTATATATTTTTTTTAGAATTTGCCTATCTAACTCCAATTAGTTGTTGATTTGATTAATTAATTTCATACTGGATTACATCAACATATCTTTATAGACTGCTGTTGAAACAGTATAAATACTTGATATAAAATGTGGCCATTTTTCTGGGCAGAATTAGAAGATCAGAATATACTGCTATTTGAAATACTAAAGGACAGAAGAGTGTGTCTACAGAAACATTATAATTGGGTGGAACAGAGTAAATTGGATGGATGGATGGATGGAGATAGACAGATGGATAGATGGATGGATGGATGGACAGACATCTGTCCATAAATGCCTCATAAATTATCTTGTGGCTTCCTTACTTCTTCAAGAGAACAATCAACTACACAAATATTTCCACTGTTCCTAGGTTGATGGCTTGGCACGTGGGCGGGAGGCAAATGAATAACAGGTGCATATGCACATGCTCTCCCCTTGTACAAATGGAGCCTTGCATGTGGGTGGAGGGTGCTTGCGTCTGCATACGAATGGAGCTTCACACATGAGTGCAAGTACCCTCCACTCACATGAGTGGAGCTTTGCAAGCACAAGTGTCCTCCACTCCCACAAGTGGAGCTTAATGTGTGTGCACTTGCCCATCTCTTCCATGGCCCAGTTTCAAATAGGCCGTGATCTGTTAGTGGACCATGGCCCGGGGATTGGGGCCTTCTGAATTACACTACCACCCACACATTTTCCTTAGGTCTCTGCTGCATTGCTTTTATCAATCTTAAATTTAACATTAAGGGTTCAAAGCTTTCCAATTCCAAGGAGGGCAAAATGTTTCTAAATCATTGGTTTCACATGAACAACCCAAGATTAAGACATAGTGCAGTAGACCATTACATGTATTGTTCTTCCATTTTTCTCTAATTCTGCTGCTTAATCATGTGTGGGACTGACCATAGGACAGAAACTTTTTGCAAATGTTGTCATCTTTAGGAATCTTCTGTCCAACAAGAAGGCAGTTAGAGTTACGTGGTCAGCACAGAGTCAGTTGCAGTCAGACAGTGTCTAGCTTCAAATAAACAGATAAATAAATCATATTCCTCTGAGGCACATTCACTATCAAGACTGTGACATTGGCAAACACAAAAAACCAGAACTATTTGGATTTCTGGAAATACCTTTACTGCTAGTAAGGTAGATTAACAGTATATTGAAAGCCTATCAAGGCTGTTCTCCAATTCATATACCTAGCATAATTAAAGCAGTGTTACTCTCAGTCCCTTTCTCACAATTCTCCTAACTACCCCTGGTTCAGGAATCTTTCCTGCAAAAGTCCTGTTTTCTCCTCTAATAGTTGTGCACCAGTCTCCACATTCCCAAAGTCTATTAGACATTTCATAGCACTGGTCCAATATCATGTCTTGTAAAAAAAAAAACACTTTCTTTCTCTCAGCAAAGCTACATTGGTGCCTACTACAGGTGCTATTGAGCCAGTGGGGCTTGTGCTGATCAGTCCTGCACTAGACTGAATGCCAGACAAGCAGGAAACAATTAGCATATTTCCAATGGCTTTATTAGCTTGGTTGTAAATTGGCTAACAGATGCTAGGACAGTGCAGTTGTAAATTAGGCAGATAATGATCTGAAGAGAATCTCTCACCTGTAAAAAAAAAAAAAAAAAAGAGCAGGCCTGTTGTAGAATAATAGTCTAGAGCTGCTGATATCCACAATATCTTGTCCAAGGATCATAAATTAAAAACATATCCATAAGGTACAAGTCTCCTATCTAGATGTTTTCACAGTGCTCCAGGATGAGGTAGAGAAGGTTATGGTGGTTTCTTAGAAGCCATGTTCCAAATAGAACACACACAAAGGGAAAATTATTTCCCTGCAGTATGAATTCCATCATGACTTTCTCTTGCATCCGAATAAGTGAAGCTTGACTTTTCTTCAATAATAACATACAAGCACACACGCATACACACAGAGACATATATTGGACATATTCTTTTCATTTATGATAATTGATTATTGCTTAATGCCTCTTTTTGATCCCTTTTCAAAGTCTCAGCAAGAAAAGGATTTTCTAGTGAAAAAGATTTTCTAGTGATATATTTGTACTTTCTACCTAAATAGAAATCAGAAACATGCATTATCCCCATGACTATTAGATTAGATATAGTCACCTATTTTGAATAAAAGTTTCATCTTATATCAACACATGTAAAATTAAGCCCATCTTCAAGAACACATAGCATATGATTTCAAATAAAAAAGTTTCTTTTTCTTCTTCTTCTTTACTTTCTCTTTATCATTTCAGGTGTTGAGGGATCAGATAAGAAAAAATTATATTTACTTTATTTGACAAGTATTCTGTTTTTCATTATTTAAAACAAACAAGGTTTTATTTTGTTCTAAATATTGAAACATCTAAAACTTTTAGATGACTTCTGTGATTGTAACTCAGCAATAGATTCAGATAAAATCCTTTATTACTGTTGATGACCAGATGTAGCTACAATTTAGTAACAATTTTACAGGGATGAAAAGGGAGGGGGATAAAGATAGCTGGGTAATTTACACAAAAACAAGGAACAAGAGGAAAGGAGAAAACAGCAGGTAAGCACTGGAGTATCAGACCATTTCTAAAGTATTAATAGTCTGCTAGAATGTTACACCGCAATATAGGTTTGTACATGCTTAACAAGCATTCCTTGGCCTTTTGCTTTTTATTATATGCATTTTAGATGGATCATATTTTTACTCGGTAACAAATACTGAATTATGTTTCTTTATACCCAAAAACACTATTTTTCATTCAACCTAGACCAATCAGCCCTCTTCTGGACCAGAACACCCCTGATTTCACAACATTTTGCTCTGTAGGGGAATGGTTGGGAGCAATCAAGATGGAAAGATACAAGGATAATTTTTCTGCTGCAGGTTACAATAACCTTGAGACAGTAGCCAGGATGACAATTGAGTAAGTGAACTGTATGCTTATATTATCTATTTTTGCTTATCTTTGTCTCGTTAATTGACAGAGGAGAAATGTTTGGCCAGGTTGTTATAAAATTTATGTATTAAGAATCCCCAAGCTTTAGTCACCTGATTATCACCTCACCCAGCCTTCTATTAAAAGTGGAAAAAAGTACCACGGAAAGTTCTAGTTCCTTGCTAATATCTGTTTAACTATTATAAAAGAGGGTTTGACTTTGCAGGGTAATAAAAACTATTGTCATTTGGGGAATTTGCTTCTTGCTAGTTAAGGACTTAAATATGGATGACCATAGTATCATAGTATTGAAAGGTAGCCCCTTCTAAGCATAAACCAGATTTTTATTAGCCTTTCTTAGTTTTTTATGAAAGCAAGTGCTTCACACTGAGACATTTTCAACTACCTTACTCATTGTGTGACAACCACACAAGGAGTAAAGAAGCTGCACTTCAAAGCAATGTGACTTGAGGACATTAACTATGTCAATGTGCTATTCTGTATGACAGAATGTCAGGGGAGTTTTAAGTCTTAATAAAAATTGTACGAATTTAAGATTGTGCTGCCTCCCTCTCTTTCTCTTCCTTTGAAAAAGAAAAGCAATAGCCATAGTTAATACCATAAGGGATACCTGACCTTCACTTTAGGGTCATGCTATCTCCTTGGAACATATACCTTTGCCAATTAATGGAAGATAATAGCAATTTTTAAGATTTTATTTTTACTCACCATAGTCTATTTCATCAGAAAGCACGGTGCATGTATGCTTGGCTTTTCAAGTGATTACTTCATCATGTTACAATATGGTGAAGTAATCACCTGAAAAGCCAGTCATGCCGATAACATATTGAATATCATTTGGTTGTTTGGTTGTTATTTCTTTTCTACTTCCCTCCACTGAAAGATTACTAATATTGAATTTTCCTCCCTCCCCATAGTGACATAATGAGCTTAGGAATCACATTGGTTGGCCATCAAAAGAAAATCATGAGCAGCATTCAGACTATGAGAGCACAAATGTTACATTTGCATGGCACTGGCATTCAAGTGTGATGAGACATTTCTCCCTTCCAAGGGAGGGGACAGACTTGAGAGAACAGTGCCAGCCTTCAGTCTTCATGAAGTGCTGCTAGAAGACACGTGATTTGACAGAGCCTTCATGCGGATGACAGAAGGCTCATCAGAAGCACCTACAGACTTGAACTCCTAAGTGCCACCAGAAAGTTACTTAAAAGGGAAAACAGATCTACTAATGGCGGCAACAAAAGAAGTGACAATAAACAAAGTACTACCTGAAACACCTACGAACACCTTGAACTCTCTAACCTCCTTTTTATCTAATGGACTTTTTAAAGTGTATATAAAGGATTTTAAAAGAAAGAATATATTTGTCAGATAAAAATCATGATATTGTTAAAGTCAACAAATATTTTCCTTAAAACTTTCATTTCAAACTTATTTTAAGAAATCAGTTGTTTTCCTTTTTCATATAGCTCTTTTAGTGTTGCATTTATATCTTTGGACCTTCTTAGTGCTAAGCATATGACACATTATTACACTGGGGAGTTTTGAAAGATTGTACAAGTTTCTATAGCCACAAGAAGTGTAACAGGGAAATGTGTATCAGGCTAGCTACTGGGTGGGTGAAGCAGGGTTGGCCAGGACTTTTTTTTTTCCTTTTTCTAATTTTGGCATCTGTTTTTGTCTGTTTATTCCACACCACATTGATGTGGTTTGCTAATTGGCAGGAAATCAGGAAAAAAAAAACATTGCCAGGAGTTCTGATATTTTTTAAAATAATTTTGTATAAGTAAATCACACACTCTTCTTTAAACAGGAAATGAATAAAATGGTGAACCTAGCAATAATGTTCCCTAAAAATGCCTAGGCACTTTTAAAGAAATGGTTTGAAAGATGGTTTTAGTAGGTTGCCTGGGTTAAAGGAAGCTGTAGAACTGCAACTTTAAATGGGTTGAAGCCCTTTCATGGAATGATTGATGGTACAGTAGGTATATAAACAGAACAAGTACAAGTACTATAGTGTTGCTTAGCCTTTTAATCAGAGCACATTGGGTGTTTGTTCTTGCAGGGGATTGGGTGTCTTTTTATTTTTTCAACAATGAATATTAGAAGGTCTAGGAGAATAATAAGCATATGGCTAATATGAGATTAAGATGAATGTAGTCCCTCTTGCAGAAGTAAGAATGTGAGGATACAATCCAGAGAAGAGTAGGCTTTCCGACATTGCATATAAATTCAGAAGAAATTGCATTCAAGTGGGTGGATACCAGTGGTGTTCTGCTGCCAGTTTGGACCAGTTCTAACAAACCAGTAGTTCTGACCATCCTCTTGCCCTATCCTGTGCTATATTTCCTTCTTTCTGGTTCAGCTGATTCATGTAGCATAGCTGATTTTCACGCTTCAACCTATAGGGGCTGCCCTAGAAGGTACAACTTCAAATTGCTGTATTTTGAACGCTGTGCACACGCTCACAGAACTGGTTGCTAAACCGGTTGCAGCCCACCATTGGTGGATACACTCTTTTTGTCAGCTAGGGCTTATATTTCTGTCCATACTTCTACCAGTCATGCTGTTTGAAACATAGATAGGCAGATGACTTCACTCATAGATTGCCTTCCTTGTCATAGACAACTGCATCTGTAGTGGCAAGCAATGACAGGAACCCAGTCATATAATTCTCATCAGTGTTGCCACTAATAATGGACAAGCCAGGTTTGGGACAAGCCCAGTTCAGAATGAGGAAGATATACACATTGAAATGAATGTGATTTCAAAACCATAATCATGCTCTGAAAATCCTAGGATCTCATGGGCCCCAAGTCTACCTAACATTCTCTGGATTGCAGTTCTCTTGTGCAAGCTCTAATGAAATGAGTGACAGACAGACAACAGATAACAGGGCTTGCACGGGACATGTTCCTGTCAGATGGTGCCTTTGGATTTTGTATTACAGGTGTAGGAATATAAGGCAAGTGGCACTTCAACATTTCATTGTGCGTGTGTGTGTGTGTGTGTGTGTGTGTGTTTTAATGAGCTGCTCTAGGCACATGCATTCAGAACTTCTGACTGAAAGATGATTGTTGAGTGAGAGAACCCTTTTTTAAAGAAAAATACCAGTTTTAATTTAATATATGTGTACTTGAGTTGAGTGAAATATATAATTACCATAAGCAATAACAAAGTGTGTCGCAGGACTATATATGAAACAGGTGACCAATGCTGTCAAAAATATGAAAATCATGAGCTACCCAGCAGTGAATAGCTGTACTTCCAAAGAGAACTGGGATGCTTCTATTGGTTTTCATAGAGAAAGATCCCAGGGATCAGTCATATAAATTAAGACTTGTTTGATAATGTGGACATCCACAAAAAGAAAAAAAATGGAAAAAAAATAACCCTGTAAATATCCCTTTGTAAAACTTGTACATTTAATTTATACTGTCTTGTTTTGTACACACATTTATGTGCAGTGAGCTCTGAATACATTGAAAATGCACTATATTTTTCTATTTTACTTAACAGAGCGTCACAAAAAGGAACATGTTTTTCAGTGCTAATATAATGTGTTTTCCCACGTTTAGGACCAAAGATAGTTACAAAGAATTCAGATAGTTAATTTGCCCTTCCTCCCATTTTCTTTTTCCTTTTACAGCACTGTACAATGTTTTATTTGTTGTTTTATTTATTTATTTTGTTAGAAAAATAATTTTGATTATGCTATTTTTTTTCTTCTTTTACCCTTTGTTAAAGAAATCTGTATAAAAAGATAAACAAAAATATTTGAATTAACATAATCCCATTACATAGACACTTCCATTTGTAATCTTTGTAATAGACTGTAAATATATTTTTGGAAATATAACTGTGAATAAGGGTTATTTGTCATTGTCTGTCTATGTAGTAACTGCAGCATTTTATAGCTTTCTCTAGTTGTCATAATTCCTCATTAGGCATTGGGGAAACTGATAATTTAGTATTAAACTGAGAATAGCTGTTGTGTTCTTAATGTACAGAAATGAGAATTTTCTAGATTGGTTAAATTGGTTCACTTAAAATATTACTTACATCATTGATTTCAACAGCCTATGCCTAGATAAAAGGAAACCTGAAGCACATACAGAAATAAATTCATGAACCCAATTAGAGAGGATGTAAACCATCATGCCAGTTGTTTGCTTGGGAGCAGAAAATGGGGTATATATACGGATTCAAAGGTAGCCTTCCATTCTCTCTATGAATCCCCAAAGACAATTTATACTACTGTTAACAGCTGTACCTATCATGAGTAGTATTTGCACAAGAGGAACTATTCTCATTGGTTTATTGCTCTGCCCATGGATAGGGCCTAAGGCTATAGTTCTAATCTTACTTCATTTGATTACAACAGTTCCATTGGCTATAATTGTTTTAGCTTGTGTCATTTGCTTGCAAATTTACACCTGTAATTATCTTCCTATATAGATTCAGTAGCTAATCATGTTTGTTGATTGCAGAAAGAAATGAGTGCAGTGCAGTTTGGTGAAAATTGTCATGATTACCCAAAAAGAACAACACTTTTTTTCTTTATGTTTGACTGTTAAGAATGTAACTGTGTTTCCTCTTTCTGATCTAACAAGACTATATTCAAATGGGAATGATATTTGAATTTGAACCCATCCCTATTTGAATGGGTATCTATTTCTTATAGACAATTAGTCATTTGTGGCACAATGAGTATGCTTATCATAATTCTCAGCACATGGAATACTTCAAGAATAATGTGTGTATATTAATTTATACATTATTCATAATTGAGACCACAATATAATTTCAGTAATTTGGAGGATAAGGCAGTTATATCAAGTTTCATTTGCATTTAGTTTTTTTTTTTCATATTACTACCAGCTTTGGAGAATAATGAATTGCATAGAAATTCATACTTCTGGAGAAATGATATAAAGCATGACATTGTGTGTATATAATTGTATCATTTTTTTTCATCTAATTAGATTACCCAGTGCACAGTCTCCTTCTCCCACTTTCTATCTGGCCAATGAAGATATGACAGTATGTGGTGAGGGTCAAAGTTCCAATGACTCACTAGTGCAGCTCTGAACAATAGTTTGTAAGCTCTGCTTATATCATATTGCTGCTGGATATAAGATGATTTAGAATCAGTTCCAGAAGTCTAAAAACAAATTTAAATTATATAAAGTTATATAGGAAGATAATACAGAATGCCTATAAAAGCTAAGACAAAAGACTGCAAATCCTTCAGAAGAAAGTTTTTGCAATGCTGTTTTTAAAAAAAAAAATCTGGAAAATTGAAGCTGCTAAGAGAGGTGTTTTATCTGCATGGGAAAACAAACCTTTGAAGGATTTTTCACAGTTCTATTGTTAAATTCAACAGAAAAGTTGATAAGGTAAATATAAAACATTTATGACAGCCGTAAGGCCAGATACAAACAAAATATCTAATAAAAAAAGTATTAAGGTGTGTGTGTGTGTTTGTGTGTGTGTGTGTGTGTCAAAAAAAAAACAGTATAATGGAACTAAAAATAATTAGGAACAAATAAATCCAAATAAATACTATTATAAGAAGTTCCAAATTTAAGTAATGGTGTGGCATATCATACAATTGTAGGAGAAAACTAGCTTGAGAGGTTATTTTTGAAACCTTGTCTGAAAGAAGTAACATTAAATAGAGATCACGCTCTCTACCTGAATTTTTTTTCAAGACAGGAAATAAGAGTGTCTTGAATCCTTATATAGGAAACAGTATATGCATATGGCTTAGAGTTTCTACTAAGCCCTCAGCACCTGGACATAACCAAAGATGTATAGGAGTACGCTTAAAATGTTTAAGATGAACTGCTGAGTATCCAATACCTGGCTAAAGTGTAACCCACTTTCCAAATTGGAATAGATGATAAATGAGAGTTGGAGCAAACACTTTTAGAAGCAAATGATAAATACTGTGGGGTGATATTTTACTTAGGCTTGTTTGGAGACCTATATCCCAAATCCATTGCTCTAGCATCCCCCCACCCCAGAATTTTTTTAGTCATGACAATTTAAAACCATCTCTAAATACTAATGGGGCCAAACTTATAGGAAGCAGAATTAACTTTAGCCAGAAGGTAAGAATAAGAGACTATGCTCTAGCATCCAATAAAAGTATAAGATGTTGCAGGATGGGAAAACTAAAAGTTTTGAATTTTTTATTTATAGATCTCTTCCCATCTGTAGAAATGTTAAGGTTAGCATTATTTCTCAATGGAGAACATGTTTATTTGTTGTTGTTTTTAATCTTGGCTTTCTTTGAACAAGTAGGTTTTTTTTAAAAAAAGCAATCAGGTCTGGCCCAATCTTTTTGGTTTCTTAAGTCAAGGAATAGCAGTGTGATTGTCTTCTGTTTGACATGTGGAATAGAACTCTACTAATAGTTGACTTTAATTTCTGTATCATAAATGTTGCACCTGTCATTTTATGTGGGAAACACATATTGGAAATGCCATTCACTCCACTCTAGGTCATGTGACCAAGAAAGAACACAGGCTTAGAACAGCAAGTCAACAGAATTTTGAGTTGTTTCTCAGTTGTCTCTTCCCTAAGGATGTACTAGATGTGTGCATGGGGTGTTAATGTGTGTGTGTGCGATATTTTTCTTTGAAGCCACAAACTGCAGTTCGGTTTTTCACTTTTTTCCCCCTTTTCTCTTCTCATACCAAATTCGGTCCTGTTCTGTTTGGTTTTCAGAGAATATTATGCCACCCAACAACAGAGAATTCTTGGCTCCTTTCCCTAATTTCCTTCCAGCAAATATAATAATAAACAAATATGCAACCAGAATAATGAAGCTTCATTCTTTAACATCCTGCTCAGCTAAAGGAATGCCTTAGGGCCCACTGAGTGGATATAACTCTACTCCTTTGATCAATGGGTGCAGCCATTTTGTGGCTATTTCTACAGTATGCTGTCAAAATTACTAATAGGTCCTGTCCCCCAAATATTGCCTACACCAGCTGTATAGATAAAAGAAGGCAGGTAAGAAGGACTATGCTATGGTCAAACAGGAATTTTAGAGACCCAATTTGTCCAGAATCACCAGAATTTGAAACTAATTTAAGTGTAATGTTTTAGATCAGGGAGCTATAGGCAATGCAAATATTAGAGCTTAAAATTATTTTTTAAAAATAGAAGTTAAATTAAGGCGGGGAAATTTTAGATATATATAGATGCTTTCACTTCAAAGAAGCAGTGCAGGGATCAAAACAGTGGTGATATGCTCCCAGTTCAGACTGGTTCAGCCAAACTGGTAGTAGAAAAAAAAAGCCTCCAATCAGCTG